TGGAAAGAGTTTCTTTGAAGCAAAACAAAAGCCAGACAGGGATGAAAGATGTCTTAAGTAATGTGAGAGTCCTTGGTGCACAAGAGCATCACTGACGTAACAGATGGTACTTTCCAAAGACGACGACACCAACACATCCCATCTCATCAGCTCTCACAAGGCGACAGTACAGACCGCCCCCAAGAGGATGGGTCTGTGTTCTCTCCCCTTGGCCTGCGGTTACAGCAGACTGAAACCCATCACTTCCAAGGTTCATTTTAAAAGGAAATGCACACCAGTAACAAACAGCACACCTAGTGAACAGGTCGTAGTTTCCAATATCATTCTCCAGTAAAAGGAACCAGAGCTGCTTGGAGAAATGGCTGATTCCAGATGGGCAGCAAATAAACACAAGTCAGGAGCATCTCCTAGTGGAAAAAGGTAAGGCCACGCATGGGCACCGCCCCCCCCCCCAATCGGGGAAGGAAAGGGACAGGGAGCCAACCTGAAAGAGCTCCCAAAGGCCAAAGCTGGACCAACTCAAGCAACAAAACACATAATGTACTACTGGACTATAATCCAAAGTATGAAACAAATAACCATGAGTAAGTGCTGATATAAACCAATGATCGCATAAATAAATAAATGGGGAGAATAAGCAAATGTCCTGTGCAGAAGTGTACATAATTCATGCAGATCTTGCCCTCAGGGAGGGGAGTGTAACCCCCCAGCGTGAAAATAGGGGGAAACTTAACAAACACTACCTCAGCCACGTTACCTCAAGTGACCAGTCGTGCTGGTGGTAGGAACCCCTATGTGACCTCATGACAAGGGCACTTCCCCTCTGGGGTTTTCTCCCCTCAAACCCATAATCCCAGCCTAATCATGAGGAAAATATCAGAAAAACCCCAACTGTGGGACAGTCTACAAAATGCTTCACTCATATTCCTCAAAATTGTCAAGGTCATCAACAAGGAAAGTATAAAACTGCCATAGCCAAAGGCCACATAGGAGATAAGACAACTACATGGAATCCTGCATGAATCCTAGGACAGAAAAAGGACAGTAGGTAAAAACCAAGGACTCTGAATAAAGCATGGGCTTTACTTATAAAAATATACCAACACTGGTTCACCAGCTGTCACAAATGTACTACACTTACCTAAGATGACAGGGAAACTGGGGGGTAAGCGTACACTGGAACTGTTATCTTGACAATTTTTCTATAAATCTAAAACTATTCTAAAATCCAGGGGTTTTTTTAAAGCAAAAACTACAATACTTACTATGGGTTTAACAAATATGTTAAATGCATTAAATTTTCTGAGCAAACAAAATTTCTGAATTATAATGAAATCACATAAAAATAAATTCACATACATACTTTTTAGTATAAAAATTATTTTAGATGTCATATATTAGATTTTGTTACTATGTTTGACTTTCAAGTCACTAACTTTTTGCCTCTTGCCTCTCCCTCTAATGTATAATAGATTTATAATGGTAATCAGTCTTGATTCCTTTCTGGACGTAGAAGTGGCATAAATAATGCATATGAGAAATGTAACACTGTCCCAATATTTACAAACATGTTGAAGATAGGTAGTGGCATGGTAAGGCCACCACCTTTGCAGTGCTCAGAAGCGTGGGTCAGCCTAATGGCCAATTCCCAGGCTACTGGGCATGGCGGGCATGGCAATACCACCACGGGATGGAAAGCCCCAGAGTGAAAGACTGTGGTTTTCCCTTGTATGAAAACATTTCATCTGCACAAACACGCTGGCAAAGCAGTGTTTGTCTCTACCTGGTTCACAGCACCCCTACCTACTCACTGTGAAAGGCCGAAACCTCACTGCTGACCATTGTGAAGAGCACTGGGGGTTCCTGTGTTTGAATATCCATTGGCCCCTAGAGTGCCCACCGACTGCAGTCTCTGCCTACCCACTGTCAAGTTTTAAAAAACTGGACTTAGGAAGGGGAGACTTTTATGTGAAAGGATGATTGCTGTGGGTCGGGGACGATGGTGATAGAGAATCCTTTGACCAGGGTCTGCAGTGTCTTCAGGCTTGGGCAGCGAGGATTTCTTCACAGGGAGGAAAAGGCACGGCTGGGATGAGCTGGGAAGTGGGGTGAGACTCGGAGGCCGTCCTGTTCTCAGGAGCCGCTCGCTAGCTCAGGCGGAGGGTGGTCTCGAGTCAGAGGCTCCGGAGGAGAGAATTGAACCAAAGTGTTGATAACAAGCATTTTGCTCCAATTGATCAGCAGAGACAAGCGGTTCAGCTAATCATTGATGAGGCCAAGAATGGGAATTTGGAGTCTTTTCACAGGTAAACAGTGGGCGCCTCTGTGACACGAGGGTGATTCTCTGCAGCGAGCTGATTTCTGGGGCACAAAGGGCGAGGGGAACTCCTTAGCTTGTTTTCCAGGAGCACAGGGCTCAGGTGAAAGTCAGTGTTGTCACCACTGAACTGGGGATGGAAATTAATAGTTATCTATGATTTTAATGTTTAAGTGCTTTGAAAGTGCCAGGTGTGTAGTAAATTCACCATAAATATTTGTTAATCTCATTTCCCTGTGAAATCCTTGAGGGCAGGGGCTGGGTTTCCCTTCCTTTTCCTTGGGGCTAGTAAGTAGCTGGAATCCGCTGGCCTGCGGAGCTGCCCCGAGGCCCGCGCCCCCCTGACCAGGACACGACCGTCCCCGTGCGGAGCTGCCCCGAGGCCCGCGGCCCCTGACCAGGACACGACTGTCCCCGTGCGGAGCTGCCCCGAGGCCCGCGGCCCCTGACCAGGACACGACCGTCCCCGTGCGGAGCTGCCCCGAGGCCTGCGCCCCCTGACCAGGACACGACCGTCCCCGTGCGGAGCTGCCCCGAGGCCCGCG